TAAACAGAGCTGGACACGCCCACTTTTCTGACTTTTCCAAAGTAGAGGTGTGAAAACACCCTGCTGAAACGAGGGGGTTTCATGGCCCTTTAAATTAACTCCACAACAGTGGAAAACAGTTAAGTTCTTACTGTAGTAAAGGAGATCTGCTTCATTCTTGTCGGTCACTGTGCTGTTTATCCACAGCTCTGACAGACATGGGGGAATGGTGGGCACGGAGAACAGGCCCATTTGCATTAATGACACTGACAACAAAAAGGGCTGCAATGTCCTAACATCTTAAATTTCCCAGATTTAAAAAGGTATAAAAATAATTTGATGGGTGTTTTGAGCTAAAACTTTACAGACACATTCTGACAGGAATGAGAGAGACAGAAAGACTTGTATTAAATCTTGAAAAAAGGGTTGAAATAAGTGGTTTTAAATTTGTATAATAGCTTTCTTCTGTTGAACACCAAACAGGATATTTTGAGAATGATAAAAAAAACATCCATAGTAGGATCAAAAACTACTATAGAAGTCTGTGGCTGTTTTTTCCAGCATTTGCTAGGATATCTTCCTTTTAGTTAAACAGAAATTTTAATATGTTTGGAACAAGTGGATAATGTATAAATGATGACATAATTTATATTTTTGGGTGAACTATGCCTTAAAGATAAATCTTTCATTTTCTTAAAATTAGCAATATATTACAGTTAGAATAATTCACTAATTTGATTTTAAAGATACACATCTAGTAATCGTGTTTCTAGTAATTGGGTTTCTAATAATTCTAATTGTGTGTCATAAACGATGACTTTGCTTATGTTTGTATTATTCGATTATGATATTTTTGGCATTGTTGCGATTTTTAAACTGTACCTCATGTAAACACAATCCATAAAGTATTCTACTAAACTCATAATGTAAATAATTGCGTCTAACTTTGTGGTGTATGCCAACTTTTAACACCGTAAACAGGCATGTAAACATTAACTGCAAAATTCTGCTCTGACCAAATTACACATGCTCGGGTGAATACAAATGCTATGTGTTGTTTACACAGATTCATGAATGAACACTGCTATTATTATGACTCCGCTCCAATTTACTAAACAATGTCAGCACATTTTGGCACGGTCCTTTGATTTGATGTTGATCGCACTAGTATCCTTTTTGAATGCTTTCGCATATTGATATAAATTAAAATAGGGATTCTATACTCGTTTCATCAGGTTTTATGGGGCTAGCATCTTCAATAATTTTCCTTTGTTATATATTAACTGTGCGTTTTTATCACAGAAGTTTCAGTGCAAAGGCTGCGGAGGTGTTAGTTGTCATTTTGCTTGTCCTCAAGGTGTTTTTGTTATACGGTCCAGCTGTTGTGAAAATGCTGCCTCAGGACTGGACTTCAACCCAAAGCACCCGCCCGCTGTGCCCTCATGCACACATTTGCCTTCCCCCTCGCCACTCCGAGAGGCCTGTTTGTTTCTGTCCCGCACAACACAATGGAGCCTGCAGTACAACAGCCTTATCAGAGCCCTCTGTTGTGCCCTGCTGTCAGAGAGCCAGCAGAAAAAATAACACCACTAGTGAAGGAATGGTGGGGTGTGTCTGTGTGTGTTATGGGAGACTTACTGAGCTGTTGACAATAAACGACAGCCTAAAATAGCATTTCTCAGGATGTACTCTTGTCAGTTTCAGCCTAAATAATAGAGTTATTATCATTACATTTCGGAAACCCTGTGGGTAATGGCTGCGTAATGATGTTGTTTGTTTATCTGAGCGGGTTGGTTTAGAGGGTACAGGGCCACCTACTGGCATATTGTTTTTTATTTGTGTCAGGTGCGTAACAAGTCGCGTGCGTCGGGATGTTGTGTGTTTTTTAGCCTGCTGTCATTCACCACTGACAATGATTTCAGGTTGTTCCTCAGTTTGTAAAAACAAACAGGAGAAGTGTTTTCTTTAATAGACTTGATAGATTTCAAAAGGGAGCCAGAAGCCAAGAATGGGAGCCAAAGGATTGAAAAGGGTTTACTCTACATTACTTTTGTGGGATCAAAATGTGTTAATGAATCCATGTTGCTTACAAGCAAGTGAATGAAAAGGATATGAACGCCAACTTTGATTTTGACTGTAAATCCGTGTGTTTTGGCACAACACTATTAAGTATGACTTTGTTTTGGTGTTCCTTTTTGCAACACGTCCTATAAGGATCACATGTTTGTCAATGAGTATACATATAGATTCACAGAACCATCTATACAGGGTGTAAACAGGGTTTAGAAGGACAAGGTTGGTTGGGTATCACTTAGGCATGGGACAATAATCATTTTTAAGGTATATCGCTGTTTGGAAAAGTCAAGGCTTTAAAACTGCAAAATTTTCTGCTTTACCGTCCCTAATGTATACGTGAGATTTTTTTATTGTAATCTTTTTTTATTATTATTTTTTTTTATGACAACATTATCTCCAGCAGAAAATAAATCCAAAAATGCCTTTTTAAATTGTAAAAAAAATCGGTGTTTTTGAAACTAATGAAGACAGCGGAAGTCAATGATTCATTTGAACTATTTATCCTGACATAATTACTGCTCCAAAATAAAATATATCAGCTGCATCCAAAATCGCCTGTTACTCAGTAGATACTGCATTTGAATGGGAATTTACTACCCGACCGATAGAAAAGTGAGAATGTGAGAAGTATGAATGAAGCTCATGATCACGTGAAACACCTGCTTCACTCTCATTCATGATTTCTCTTGTTGTGCATCATGAGAGAGTGTAGCGTCCATCGGATGTGCACTTCAGAATCTTTCTAGAAGAAGTAGGTCATCTGGGCACTTCTCGCATACTGTTTTTTTTTATTTCTATGAACTCTGACAAACTATTTAGCTCGCATACTGTTTTTAGCATACTATATAGTATGGAAGTATGCGATTTTTGGACGCAGCTATTGTGTTCAAAGCGGAAAAAAAGTTATTGTTTTTTACTCAGACATTTAAAATATCACCGCCAAACTGTGATATTTTTATCCAAGGTTATTATACCGTTAGAATCTTATACCGGCCCATGGCTAGTATCACGATATGTAAACTGCTTGATTAGTAACTGCATCCAGAGAGTAACAATATATTGGAGGTATATCAGTCAGTTGGTGTAACGGTTTGGGAAATTCATGGTTTGGTTTGATGCGACACTGGTGTCATGGTTCAGTATGTTTTTGATTTAGTTTTTTTATTATTTATTAAAACTAAAATCATAAAACATTATCTTTTTTTATATTTAACAATGATGTAGCTATACTTAAGCCATTCTCTGGAGTGTCTTTAGCAACATTTAAAACAAAAATGGCTCTTCTAAAAAAAGAAATGTAATATTAAATTAGTCATGAACAAATGTAAAGAAAATGGAACTGAGTGTGTTTTTACTCTGTGTCTACATTTTCTGTGGGCAGCACAGGTCTGCTTGATGTCAACCGCAGTGACAATTGCCCTCTAGCTATTGGACAGAGGTTCTGGCAAAGCCAGGAATTATGGTCTGGCTAAATTGGGCTGGTGAAGTAACAGTGTAATGGGTATTACCATTAGATCCCAAGATTTTTATCCGGGGTACATATCATGTCAGTCCTCTCTTACAAAGCAACGACTTCAGATTCATAGACATGTATATTTTACAAGCTAAATGTATTATTGCTCTTAATTGGAAAAATATGAATGAACCTAGAATAGGAAAGTGGATTAAAGTAATGGCGTGATATATGTCAATGGAAAAGATCTTATACATTGTCAAAAAGAAACAAAATGTGCTTGAAGATATATGGAGACCATTTAATAACTTACTGAAGTACAATGTAAATGCTGGCAGTCTACTACAACAAGAACAAACTTAGAAGGAGTAGGGGAGAATTAAGGCCTAAACATAGACACAGGAAACACTCTATACTTGATTTAAACATATTAAACATTACAACATTATTTTTCTAAGGGAATAGGCTGATGGGAGGGAGAATAGGGTTTAAAAAGTTTGCTGTGTCTTTGTGATTATTATTCTATAATTGTGTAATCTGTTGTGATATGCAAATTGAAAAAAGTAATAAATATATTGTACAAAAAATAGTGTAATGGGTCTCAAGTAATGTAAATAGTGAATAAGTCCTGGCTGTGCCTGAAACCTCTGTCTTTCTCCCTTTATTTTTTACTTAATTAGTTTAATAGGCATTAGTACCAAGAACATTATATTTCACACACTTGAGGCTCTTTATTTTCTTAATAACTTTGGTTAATAATTTGATTTTGAAATGTGCATCGGCCCAAAAGCATCATACTTAATGGTTCAGTATGAATATGTGTGTATTTCACTTTCAGTTCTTTTTATGGTGTATAATGAATCATTTTTGGTCACCCTTGTATATTTAGTTGTTGATGCTCTTTTGTTTCTATTTTATTCTTAGTCATTTATTTTTTAATTTGCAATAGTTTACCAGCATTTAGTATTAGTTAATCTACTTCACATCCTTCATTATTTGTTTATTCAATGATTTTTTTTCAAAGAAGAAATCGTTCAAACTTTCTATTTATTAATTAAAAATCTAAAAAATATATCATTATGCATGCAGTAGAGTACAATATAGTCAGTGTATAACACCGCTCTCAAAAGTATACTTCAATAAATCTTCCAATGGTGTCTTTTCTTTTTTTAATCCAAAAACATTAGCAACCAAAATTTCTTAATACTTGTTTAAAATACAGTTGTTTTCATATTTTAATCCCCTCCGGCAATTGCTAGTCAACAATTCAAAGTGGCATAAAGCTGGCTGTACATAAATTGCAATTGTGGTTTCAAAAATCAGGCTGTGCATGCGGTGTATATTTGACCATAGGGTGTAGATCCTCAATTAAAAATGAGGCAAGCACTACACATTGTCAGCGTCTGCCTCATTTTAATAATTGCAAAAAAAAAAAAAGCCTAAAACTAGTACATAATAATAATAATAATCTGCTAATCTCTTCTCTTCTCAGTGTTCCCAATTCCTGCCCAGCAAGTCCTCGAGGAGCAGGTTCCTCGGGTTACCGATACGGCCGCAACATCACCTCAGATCTCCAGCTGGCAGCGGAATATGCAGCCAAAGCTGTATCAGAACAGCGCACTGAAGCCACGGGAGGAGATAGTCCTAAAGTAAGAGTCTTCAGCCTATCAGTGCATTTCGCTCACAAAATCACTATATTTGATCCCAAGAGTCACCGTCTGCTTTTTTTTTTCAGGATGAGTCCAAACCCCCATATTCATACGCTCAGCTGATAGTCCAGGCCATCTCGTCTGCACAGGACAGACAGCTAACACTAAGTGGCATTTACGCTCACATCACCAAGCATTATCCTTACTACAGGACGGCCGACAAGGGCTGGCAGGTCAGTTCATATATAAAACTGTTGTTTATTGGTTTGTCTGCTAATTTGTGTTCTTTCAGTTAAGAAGTTAAGCCGCCTTTCCACTGCACACGACTGTTGGAATATGCCCCTTGTGGCAATCAAACTGAATTTTCAGTTTTGTTGTGCACCATGGGAGAGAAGCTGTTCTCGCAGGGTCAGAAATAAAGGAGTGCAAAAGCACATAAAGGAGTCTTTATTCTATTTATCACCATGGTTAAATGAATGAATACTAGATACTTATAGACCGCTAAAAATTTTGGAGGGAATGTAGAGAGAACATTTTTATTGCTCATTTATGAATAGAAATGTTTTTTTTAATGTAGACTTTTTCTGATAGAAAAATAACGCAAAAAACTACTATTCCCCATCTCGCGTGCACGGATTGCTTGCACAACACTGAAAAACATCACATCCGGTCAACCGGTCGCGTACAGTCTAGTCGCAGGAGTTTAAATATTTCAACGGATCAAATTCAGATCCACATTTTCCGCATACTCCCAGACTACTCTCCATTGGAAATGAATGACTTCCGGTCTGTCGCTTGTCATTTGTTGTGTGCAGTGGAAAGGAGGCTTAAGAAATGTTTCATGAGCAATGAAATCATCATGTTAGAATGTTTTCTGAAGGATCATTTAACATCGGAAGTAATGAAAGGAAGTAATGATATTGGAAATTTGGCATTTTCGAAAATAGAAATAAATGTTATAATATATTCATACATCTCATTGCATGTTAGTGCAAGTTAGATGTGTGTCGATATGAATACAAATTGTAAAAATGAAGATGCGTGCTATTTTTAATCAAATATTTTCCCTCAGATAGTGAGTCAAATGTTTTGATTCATTGTAGACCTTTTGTTTGTTAACACTTTACAGTAATGCTTTGTTTGTTAACATTAATTTAACAAAAAATGACAGTGTTAACCACGTGTAAAGCATTTATAAACCTCAATCTATATTTCATAGATACTTGGTTAAATAAAAACTAATGAAATGTGTTTATTATGATGGAGTGAATAACTAATAAAGTTTACTTATTATTTATTTATTTATTTTATTTCTTATATTATTTCGTGGACTGGAGACTCTTATGTCTTGCTTGTCAAATGTAAAAGCCTGTTGTCTTTGAACTTTCTAGATTTTAATGAAAGTAAAACTGAAATAATTGTGTTCAGCCCATCAAATTCTTCTAGGACACCAACAGTAAATCAGGCTTTTCCATCAAGACTTGGGTTAAAAGAATCTAGGTGTTATCTTTGATGATGGCTTGGGATTTAATACACAGATAAACGCAGTGGTTAAATCCTGCAATTTTCAGCATTGAGTCTTAAAAACAGTCAAACCTATTCTATCTAGAATTTCCTTTTAATAATTCATGCTTTTATTACTTCTAGGTTGGACTACTGTAACTCACTATATTTTGGGATTAGTCAGACAACGCTACCCTGTTTAGCTTGTAGCTGTTCAAAATGCTGCTGCAAGGCTTTTAACCGGTTGCGCTCTTTGCACTGGTTGCCCGTGTCAATGTTAACATTCTTTTGGTTTTTAAATCCCCATATGGCTTGGCTCCTTATTATCTGTCAGACCTGTTGACTGAACATCAGCTTGGTCGGTCTCTTCAGTCATCAAACCAGAGATTATTATGCATCCCTAAAGGCCTGCACACATTGTGTGTTTTTTTTTTGTTTTTTTTTTTAATATTATTTATATTTTAATAATTCTGAACGATTGTAGCACAACAAATGGCACGAACATGGCTGCCATGCCACACTGTAAGATCTCAGCTGTCATAATGTCAGACTGAACGACACCAAACATGGAAGAAAACTCTCCCAGAGTTGGACGTCACCCACCCGTGACACTTTCACTAGCCCGCGTTCTGAAATGATTCCTCACAGCAAACATAAATAATCAGTAGCTGCAATTCTGCACACGGTGTGTCTCAATAACAAAACAAGATATAGAAAAAAATTGTTTTGAAATTTCCCCGCAGTCATTTGAATTGTTGCTTGGATTGCATCTTCAGATTCTGAGCTCCTTTTGTTTCTTGGATTGATGCTCATCACAGCTGTTGTCACACTGCAGGAAAGAGTCTGAAACCTTCTGACACTGTCATAACTAATTCGGAGGAAAAATCTAACCAAAACGGGCAATAAGCAGCAGTCTGTGAACATGTCAAACCAACGGTCAAAGACCACAGATTTTAGCCTAGGATTTCAGCCATCTTTTAGGATTTTCCAAATTTGTCTCAAATGACAAAGTCGTGGCGGAAATCCCACAGTGTGAGCAGGGCCTAAGTCGAGGCTGAAATGCAGGGGTGACCATGCTTTCGCAATAGATTCTGGAATGCTCTGCCCCTCTGTATTAGATCTATATCATCTCTGTCTGTTTTTAAATCTAGGTTGAAAACTTACATTTTAATTTGGCATTTTATCAGTGAGAATTGTTTGTTTAGCTATAATTTTATATCTTTCTCTTTGTGATTTGTATTTTGCAGTACGTTGATCAACCTGTGGTTGTGTTTAATAGTGTTATGAGAATAAAATCGACATTTACATTATTATTTGACACATTAGCATAACTTATGTAACAAATCTTGCTACTTCTTACCATAAATGTAACGTATTAACAACCATTTACTACTGGGACCTTATTGTAAAGTGTTATCTATTGTACTTTATGACATTTTGACCTTATTATTAGTTATTAATTATAAATATTTTTATGAAAATCTGTTTACTCTAAACATGTGTAAAAAATGTTGTTATTATACCTGTTAAAGTTGTCCTTTTTGGCAGTATATGGCAATATTGTGAAGATACTCAGTATATTGGTAAAATCATCGCCAAGCTTTGCTATGAGGAAAAAGTGTTAGGATCTTTGTGGTTATTTGTTGTTTGTTCTGCTATGATTTAGTGTAAATGTGCATACTCTTTTCTCTCCAGAACTCAATCAGACACAACCTGTCTCTGAACCGCTACTTTATTAAAGTGCCGCGCTCGCAAGAAGAGCCTGGCAAAGGTTCATTCTGGCGTGTGGACCCGTCATCTGAGGCCAAGTTGGTGGAGCAGGCCTTTAGAAAGCGCCGTCAGAGAGGAGTGTCCTGTTTCCGCACCCCCTTCGGCCCCCTGTCCTCCAGGTGAGATTCAGACCCATTATTTTAGCCCGGCACCTAATGTCTAATGTTATAGAAGCTTGCTTAGCCTCTTCTCTTTCCCTCTTTCTTCCCCTTCTGTCTGTTTCTTCACTGGACAGAACAAAGTAAGTCTGTCACCTATTTGTATTTGATCTGTTTCATTTGGTGAAGCAGCATCAGTCAGATCATCATTGCGCTCTCTGCTTTTAAAACCGGCTTTAATCTTGCAATAGATGTGGGTCCAAAATTAACCATTTGATAAACCGAAGTTGTTATCAGTTGTCTGGATTTACCATCATTACTTATATGCTGTTTAGTAAAATGTTATCTTTTAATTATTTGAATTCCACAAACTTTTACCAAAAAAGAACAATTTAGATTGTTTGCCGAAAGTGAAAATAGGTCAATGTTAAAGGTGCAGTAGGTGATTTGCCAAAATATTAACGGGTTAGCATAATATGTTTGAAACTAAATCCCACCCCTGCCGTCCAAAACCACGCCTCCTGAAACACGAACACATACACTAAAGATAACAGCAGACAACACTAGATTATCATTCGCCAGTTAGAAAACTTTATAGTACTTTATAATACTACATTTCTGAATGAAATATTGTATTATATCTAGCACATTTTCAGTTGTGTAACTAGCGAAACTTGTCATAATGTGCTATATTTCATGCATGCAAGGATCGCTGGTCTCACTCTCTCACATGCTTTTTCCCAAAGTGATTACTTTATAATTAGTGGTTGGCCAGTGGGGTGCAAGAATTACACTTATTTCTAACCGTACGTTCACACCGAAAGCGGCGAGAGCGTCTAAGGTCGCTCTGGCCGCCCTGGCGACAACGCTGTCTGCCTTCAGCTCCGGCGGCGAGAGCATCAAAACTCGCTACATTGATCTCGTACTTAAAGGAGCCGTTGCAGCATATCAGTTACATTCCTGCATAAGACATGTTTTTACCGTGAAAATGTTGCGCACTTCTTATCAAATTCATAAAACAATGGAAGATCAAGTTGCATGTGGTGTGGCTTTGCTTTATTTATCCAATATGTGTCCATATGTCTGAAATATCCTGAAGCAGCTATACTGTTTTGTACTGTCACATCGCGTGAGATTCCCGCTTTTTTTAAGATAAATTTATATAACATTAATGAACATCAGTAACTCGCCAGTAACTTGTTTAATGTATGTTCCTGTAAGAAAACATTGTTAATAATTGGAAATCCGGTGACCGCAATAATCAAACCCTTGGGAACAACTGTGGTCGGAACCAAAGTTCACAGGTCTGTGTTCCCTGAACTGCTATCAAGCAGTGGACGTCTTCATTCTGATTGCTTGCCGCCGAACCGCGTCATAGCTCATTACCATAAAGTTGACTTCATTTCAACTCTCCTCGACGCTCACGCCGGCGAAGAAGTGCCGCGCTGCTCCTCGCCGCTTATCGTCGCCTATCGCCGCCGGCTCTCAATGAAAATTAATGACTTCCGGCTACTTTGACGCTCTCGCCGCTTTCGGTGTGAACGTACGGTAAGCCATACTGACATGTTGTTTCAGTCCAAATATTTAAAGTAGCTAGGTAAACAATATAGGAAGCGAATCACGGGTTGTCATTGTTCAAAAAAGAACTAATGTGAATATAAAACCAACTTCAGCTCAGTAAAGCAGGCTAGTCAGAATAGCGCTTTTTGCTGATGTTTTGTTGTTAAACTAAATAAAAATCTACATCATCAATGTTGTAAAAGGCCCCTATGAAACTGAAAACAGTCACATCAATCTTTCACCGGAAGATTTCAATGGCTGAACAATACCTCTGTGCATATAATCTATTCATAACAAGAAAATCTAGCTACAGCATGCGTCACTAAAATAGTGTTAAAACAGATCATTACCTGCCTAAAAGAAATCCTTCAGCCATGGTGTTGTCCTTCCTCCGGTGTGCAAAAGTACCTCCAATATTGATTCAGGATTTTTTAAAGTTTGGATTCAGTATTTGGTTTTAGTGCTGTCACTCGTGTCCATGTAACTGCAACATGCGTTTATGCTCAAACAGCAGAGCAGATCTGCATGAACAGAGGTACACAATTGTACAAATCTACATTTGTTGATAGACACTTTGGGCTACTTATTAGAATTATGGGAATTATCAGCTCGACAATATTTAATTGAATAAACATTTTTATTTTTATGCCTCACCCAGAATATAAAAAATTGTTACTATTGGAATGTAAAGAGACTTTCAACCAGCAAAGAAAAAAAGTTCTACTGCACCTTTAAATATTCCGTTTTGGGGAAAAAGTGTGTAAATAGATATTTGGCAAGTTTCTTAATTCCTACCATAAACATACCAAATTCTAATATATATTTTAAGTTTTCATATATTTATGGTAAACAACTTACAAAATATCTTCATGCAACATGATTTTTATTTTGATATTTTAATAATTTTTGGCATGAAAAAAGTCTATAATTTTCAAACACACAATGTATCATTGGCCATTGCCAAAAATATGCCAGTTGTAACATAAGTCCAGTTTTGTGGGCTACACAAAACTTTAGAATAGTTGAATAGTTAAATTTAGTTAAAAGTTGAATAGTTAATTTACCTTAACTATTCAAAGTTTAAAGTAAAGTACTGTTATTCTGTGAACAATTTAGGTGTCGATTTGCTTTTTGGTGATCGTGATATACCTTAAGGTAAACTGCATAATGAGCTCCTGTGTTGATGTTTCTAACAACATCAGACTAAACCTATGGGAAGATATGTATATTTAGTTCCACATGCCATACCATTATTTGCTAATGCTTCCCTAAACTCGTGCAGTTCAAAGAAACAGAGACATTTTTTGGACCACATCACATTGTTTACAATCTTTGTCAAACCCATTGTGTTCTCCTGAAATTGTACCTACACAATAAACTTAGTCAACTAAAGGCACACAAGTTACTTTTGGACCCTGCTTGAAGAGTATCATCAGAATACATGTGTGTTCTGCATTCAGTGTGTCTGTTAAGTTTCTGAAAGAGAGGATCATACAGCGTGTGTGACTTTGATCTTTATTTTGGTTTTCAGGAGCGCTCCAGCTTCTCCCACTCACTCCGGCCTCCTCTCTCCACACTCGAGTGGCCTTCAGACCCCTGAGTGTCTCTCCCGGGAAGGATCCCCAGTGTCTCATGAGCATGACTTTGGTTCTAAGCTTGCCTCTGTGCCTGAGTACCGATACTCCCAGAGTGCACCAGGTGAGTGTGTTTTTTTTTTGTTTTTTTTTGTGTGATTAACAGGGTTTAGATGTAATCTAATCTAAATAGAAACAATAATATAATTTACATTTATAAGCAGTTGATATTTGAAATCATTTTTTTTTCTATTTAGCATGAAGTAATTGGTTAAACATCTTCTTGTTGCACCTTTTATTATTAATACTGCTCTGTTATTATATTTTTAAGACAAATCTCAAAACTGTCCTATTAACTGTCCTACTGCACGATTAATCATATTATTATCAAGATAACAATATTTATTGCCCACGATCAATAATTAAATATTGTTGCGATTTTACAGTTAAACCAAGCAGTTATTTTAGTAGTTTACAGATTGTACCGCATCACAAGCATGAGGTGACTGCATCTAGATTGTAAGTGGGTTTTTTTTTTCGAGGAATGCAATTTTGATCGGTAGCCTTTTCTCCTGTTCAGTCCAAACTTCCCAAGGTAACACAACAAGCCTTATTGACCACCTTAAAAGTCATCACAAAGTGGCTGTCATCAGTGGGTTAATGAGAATTCTGCTTTTTCTAGGCATTACTAACATCACCTAAACCAGACAACATTTGTTTTAAAAAATTTATTAGCATATTGAGCAGGTTTTTTTTTTCTCTGACGCGTTTGCCTGTCATGTAGACAGAAGACACTGGATCCAATAGTTTTAATGTAAAAAGTCATTGTGGGCCTGTTCACGCAGGTATTCAGATTCGTTTTCATCAATTTGATGCAACTTTTATTATTTATAAGAAATTTTAACTTTTTATTATTTATATTAAAAGTTTCAGATCAATTAATTAAATTTATAAAAAGACTAGCCTATTTTATGCATTAAATAATGAAATGGATAACTAATTTCCTTTATTTCCGATTAGACCAAGCACTTAATTCTGTTTTACAGTTTTAATATGTTTATATGCTTTTTTAAATAACATTCGTATAACAAATATTTTAGCTTTTCAAAAGTTAATAAATTACTTTTCTTTTAATTAAAATCTTTATGCAAAGGATCAGAAATTGATTGCGCACGCAAGAAAAAAAGCAATCATCCAACACATGCCACATTTTTGCAGAAGAGAAATGACAGGAATTTTGCAAAAGAAAAGGATTAAACATATCGAGACATAAAAAAGAACATTCTTCTTTATATATTCTTATGACTCCAATACAACAGCTAAGATTAGGAATGATGGGGGTAAAGCTGTCTCTCCTGCGTGGTTCAGCAGCACATCCTGCTGTTTGTGAATGAGGAGGTAGACAGAATGCACTCAAGGTATTTAAATAAAAACTGCTCATCACGCTTAAAGTAACCAAAGTAACTAAAATGCACAACTCTGGTTGGTTGCACCCAGAATGCACAATGATGCACAACTCGCCATTCTTTTAATTGCTTATGCGAGTATAAAGTAAGTATGAACCAACTGCAGATGCTTTGTCATGTTGGTCGCGACACTCTGCTTTAGAACTTATTCGTTTATTACAATAATTACAGTTAGCTTTGCCATCGTTCTTCATCACATGTAGCCACTTTTTTGAGCACATCTTGTGGTTCATCTCTAAACAGATGCTAAGATTATTATTGAAGGTGCTCTCCAGCGGTGAAGTTCCTGGCAGAGTAGCAAATGAAAAAATGTTGCATGCAGAAATTGGACAAGAAGAGTCAAAATTTTAATTATATAACAAGTATCAGAGTATCCAGTACATATACAGTTGAAGTCAGAATTATTCGCCCCCCCTTTGAATTTTTATCTTTTTTATATATATTTCCCAATTGATGTTTAACAGAGCAAGAAGATTTTCACAGTATGTCTTATAATATTTTTCTTCTTCTGGAGAAAGTCTTATTTGTTTTATTTAGGCTACAATAAAAGCATTTATAAATTTTTTCTAACACCATTTTAAGGACAAAGTTAGTAGCTCCTTTAAGCTAAATCTTTTATCAGTAGTCTACAGAACAAACCATTGATATACAGTAACTTGCCTAATTACCCTATCCTGCAGTTAACCAAATTACCCTAGTTAAGCCTTTAAATGTCATTTTAAGCTGTATAGAAGTGTCTTGAAAAACATCTAGTCAAATATTATTTACTGTCATCATGGCAAAGATAAAATGAATCCGTTATTAGAGATGAGTTATTAAAACCATTATGTTTAGAAATGTGTCTGACAAGATGTGCATGACAATTTACTTTGATTAATCACCCAGCCTACTTTTCTAATATCTATACAGTCTTGATGAACTGCTAATTCTTTGCCACTTCTCCTTTCCTAAACATATTTCCTGTGACTCAACTTGTCTCGTCTCTCAGGCTCTCCAGTGAGCGCTCAGCCAGTAATCATGGCTGTACCATCTCAGTCCTCAGCCGCGATATCCAAACCTGTGGCTTACATGCCCTCCATCATCAGCTCCTCCCAGGCCTCTGGTCAGGCCATCCATGTGGTGCAGCAGGCGCCAGCTGTCACCATGGTCCGTGTAGTGACCACCTCAACCAGCTCCCCTAATGGCTACATTCTGGCCAACACCTCCTCCTCAGGCCCTGGAGACCTACATGGAGATCCAAGAGGTACAACAACCCACTGCTTCTGCTTTTAGCGACATTTTTCAGACAACAGGTATCGTTTTTGTAGCGATATTTTTATGTTATGCTTTTTATGTTATTTTTATTTTTAATAAATTTGCAACAATTTCAGAAAATCCTTTTTCACATTGTCATTATGGGCTATTGTGTGTAGAAAATTAATCAATTTAATCCATTTTGGAGTAAGGCTGAAACATAAAAAAATGTAGAAAAAGTGAAGCGATATCAACACTTTCCAGATGCACTGTATACTGCAGCGTTCAAAATTATCTGACATTAAGAAGACTATTATCTGGACACTGTTTAATGTGTCATTTTATTACCTTTTTCCTAAACTATAGTGCATAATGTAAAAATGCTAAAAGAATGTGATTATTATATTGCTTTGACTATATACTTGTACTATAGGGCTGTTGAATGCTTGATTCTAATTGGCTGATAAGTTAGGCCAGACAGAATCTGCAGACATTTCTTGCTATTTCTGAGTAGATTTTTGTGAAAAACATTTATCCGGAATGATTTTGGGAGTATCGTAACTAAAAGCTTTATATATGAAATAAAAAATAAAACCTTTTCAAATTTTATTCACTGTTTACTATGCAGATCCAATTAGATCCACCTATTTGGTAAACAAAGCAAGTCTCTCATATAATATTTCTACTAAAAGACAGAAAATATTACTTTGCAAACTGTATTGTAAATAAAAGAAATCAACGTTTTCATAATAGTCAAGAATATTACTGAAATTAATTTAAAAACTGAGTGAATATAAATTTACACACATTTACACAAGTAAATATATAGACTCGATGGGCCGAAAATCTGTTGAAATCTGAGGATTTCTGTGTGCGCAGATTCTGCTTAGGCCCACTGATAAGTAATTTGACAAGTAATTGTCAGATTAACAAACAGTTAATGTATATACAAGTCTTGCATTAGTTCCATATTACTACATCCAATTATTTTAGTCATTTCAGATCCTGCATCACCACCGCCGGTCACTGGTGTGCATTTTTTTAATAATTCCTCTTGTAGTTTTGGCTCTAAAAAGTTTGTGTGAATAGGCGTGATTAACTGTCATGTGTGTTGTGTGCAGGTGCATTAGATGAGATGCCATTGGTTGGCAGCCGAGTGATTCAGGCTGTAGGGAGTCACATAGCCTCAGCCAATAGGGGGCAGCAGAGCTACACTGTTGTCCAGCAGAGCGCCATTCACCATCTCCCCGTGCAGACCATTGCTCAGAATGGCAAACATGCTCTTCCTGTCACCAGCATACCAACCAGTGCTTATGGTAAGTGTTGATAATGTGCGTGTTTGCTGTTTTTCAGTCCAGTCTAATGATTGACTTAAATGATTGCCACTTGTTAACTCATGGTCGTTGGTTTTATTCATTCATTCATTTATTCATTTTCTTGTTGGCTCCCTTTATTAATCCGTGGTTGCCACAGCGGAATGAACCACCAACTTATCCAGCAATTTTTTACGCAGCAAAAAAATTGTATGCCCTTCCAGCCACAACCCATCTCTGGGAAACATCCACACACACATTCACAAACACACTCATACACTACAGACAATTTAGCCTACCTATTTCACCTGTACTGCATGTCTTTGGACTGTGGGAGAAACCGGAGCACCCGGAGGAAATCCACGCGAAGGCAGGGAGAACATGCAAACTCCACACAGAAACGCCAACTGAGCTGTGAGGTGACAGCACTACCTACTGTGCCACTGCCTCGCCCCCGGTAGTTGGTTTTACCTTATTTTTAAATAAAAGGATCTTGAGTTACGTTTTTGGTCCAGATCTTGTATTTTAATAATTGTGCAATGCAGTTCATGCATAGCGTTTGGAATACAACCTTTGTATCCAAAACTAAAATAACACGGTCACATTTTCAAATTCAAGATCATGGGGTGTGACCAACATCAAGAAAAAAACTAAACGATACAAAGATGATCTGTGCAGATCAAGATCAATATGTCTAATATTCATTCATTTTCTTTTTGACTAAGGCCCTGCTCACACTGAGATTTCTGTTACGATTTTGTCATCTGAGACAAGTTTGGGAAATCCTAAAAGATTCCTAAAATCCTAGGCTAAAATCTGTGGTCTTTGACCGTTGGTTTGACATGTTCGCTGACAGCTGCTTATTGCCCGTTGCGATAAAATTTTTCCTCCGATGAAGTTCTGAAGCCAGAAGATTTCAGACACTGTTCCTCAGGGTGTCCGCAAGGTCTTAAAAAGTATTAAAAGTTGATAAATCATTTATGAGAAAATCAAGGCCCTTAAAATGTATTAAAGTCTTAATTGCGTTTTACAAGGTCTTAAATTTTGTTCAAGCACTGTAAAAAATGTGTTTGACTAAAAGAAACCATAAATATATTTATTTCTCTCCTAATATTAACGAACGGCGTGCTCGATCCACGCAATTGGTTCAGGCTGCAGCACGTGATGTCATGTAATTTGCGACAAACGCAGGAAAGGGTATGCTCTCCACATGTAGTGAAACCATAGAGCGAAACAGATGGCAAAATAAGATAATGTAAGTTTGTGTACTCCTTGTTGGAGAAAGAGTTTACAGCGACTGAAGCCTTTTGCTGAAAACAACTGTGTAATACAGTAATAACAACTGTTTATTAAGTTAAAGGTTTGATACCGATTAGAACATAAAGTGGCGATGAGATCTTAAAATATTCTGAGAAGGTCTTTAAAAAGTCTTTAAAAGGTATTGTAATTACCTTTAGGATTCCTACATATACCCTGTTCCTTTAGTATGACAACAGCTGCGATTAAGTGTCGATCTAAGAACCGATAGGAGCGCAGAATCTGAAGATGCAATCCATGCGACAATTCAAATGACCACAGGGAAATGTCAAAACAGTTTTTTTTTCTTTCTTGTTTTATTAATGATAAAATTGCCGTTACAGATTGTTTAAATTTTGCTGTGAGGAATCATTTCAGAACAGATTTCAGAGAAGTTTGAACTATGAACCGCCAACTTAGCCAGCATATGTTTTACGTAGCGGATATCCTTCCAGCTGCAAACCATTACTGGGAAACACCTATACACACTCATTAACACACATACACTACGGAAAACTTAGCTTAACACAGAAATGCCAACTAACCCAGCAGAGGCTCGAACCAGCGACCTTCTTGCGTAGCCATGTAGATTTTTGAAAATGATGATGTCACATTGTTTCATGAACAGGAGCCTGTAACATGAAGCTAGATTAGCTGGCTAGCCAGTTAAGTTTGAGTTTAGTTTGCTCAATTTACGGGTTTGGGTACAATGAAAGAAGCTCAGCTGCTCCATAATACCATTGCAGCAAACAATGATTAAAGCTGCCTTCATGTTATCTAAGGCCCCGTTTACACTAATGCGTTTTAGTTTGAAAACGCATAAGTTTTGCTACGGTTACGCCATCCGTCCACACTACGCCGGAGTTCTCGAGCGCCGAAAACGGAGCGTTTCGAAAACGCTGGAGAGGCTGTTTTCATTCTGAAACGCAGCTGCTCCGTCTCAGTGTGGATGATGGAAAACGGAGACATTTGAAAACGGAGGCGGGGCTGCAGACATTCGCCTCTCTGATTGGGGCTTTTCCTGAATATTAAGTAGCCTAACACGCACTTCAGTCCTGCATCTTCTCCGTGTAAGTTAAAACTTCGCAAGTTTGATCATGGCTGCAGTCTCTTCTTCTCAGTTTGATATGGAAAACAGACTATACCGAGGACACGGGTAAATCTTCAAAGGGAACAGTGTACTTTATAACTTCATTCACATCACCCTGGCTACGTTGTTTTACTTTCTCAACAATAAAATGTAAACATGATATAAGGAACTGCCTATTTTCATTTTAATATTAACAACTAAACAGACAGCAAAAATGTTGAGGCGTCGTGTTGCAAATATGAGCGTCATCTTCACTGTGTGCATATTTATAACAAAACGGAGCCTACAACAACTGCCTCCTTTCAATTTCAGTGAAAATACGAAACACACCCTCTCTTTGCTGAATATCAGTTTTAATCGATAATGGCCATTATAAAAGTATAACATACAATAAGTTTATACATTATAGGAAATAAAGGCAAGCGATAAGTCAATATACAGAATGTACGTGCTTACATTAATCATTAACTTATCTTTGCACTTAGCCAAAACACGTTACCTGAGAACAAGTAATAGATTCCAATGTCCAATGAATATGTCGTTAAATAAAGACAACAAGATGAAAGAAATATTCCGTTTAATAAATATAGTGAGGTTAGATCCAGCGGGAGATGCTTGAAGAGAAGTCCGACTAGCACAGCTCTCATCTGGGTAGATTGGCTACAGCGCTTGCCTGAGAGTGTGTGTGTGGTCACGTGATGTGCGTTTTCAGCGTTTTGGTGTGGACGGAGAGCAGTTCAGAAACGCTGGGTGAAACGCGAGTGTGGACGCGGATCGTTTTCATTCTAAAACGCCGTTTTAAAACTAAAACGCACTAGTGTAAACGGGGCCTAAAACCCAAGATTGGTGCAAACTAAACTGAAACATAACTGACTAGCCAGCTAATCCAGCTCCATAGTACAGGCCTGAAGGACGAAGAAGAACCCTGCATGTAAACAGCAACAATATCGAATTACAGAGCTGTGTTTGTGCGTCAGGCTTCTAACTTTATAAGCACTATTACAACAAACCTGATAATGCTGTATCAACTAGACGACATGCAGAGACACATTAACAGTTCAACGCATCAAATGTTTTTAAATCCACCATGGTGTTTTGTTTATATCTGTATTATATCAGTAATGAAGAAGCACATGCTCACTGCATTCTTCTATGATTTTAGTGTATCCTCTCTCTCTGTCTCATATTTGCTTATAGAGCCACATACAAATGTGGCATACATATCGCACCAATTTAACTCAGTTTTCTGGTTCCATCTGGATGGAGACATTGCCAAACGTTTAAAATCCCCCCCAAAAATAGCAAACATGATCTAAATGCATTCTCCTTTCCTTCAGCTCTGACCAACCCTCTCCAGATCCTGGCTGCCCAGGCCTCAACATCCCCACCCGTGCTGGTCAACAGACCCTCCAGCATGGAAACTGACGAGTCCAGCATCGACGAGCCCGAGCCCAAGCGGCCCAAAAAGGAGGAGGACTGTGTGGCTCCGGTCCCTCAGCCTGTTATTGTTGCAATGAACCAGGAAGCCAGCGAATGAAAGCGTGAGTGAGCCAATGAGCGGATGACGGATCTTAACAGCACATCTCACAATATCCTCAAACATATTGAGGGCAATGTGTTGGGCTTTCTTTAAAAACCTGAACTTCAACGTTTTGTAAACGCCCCACACGGGCACCTGATCGAATGTCTTTGTAAGAAGAGCTTGTTTCATGGGATAGATTCATCAAGCTACATCTGGCAGCATTAAATTCAGTGCTCACACTGTTTTAATTTTGTAGGGGTTTTTAAATCTTGTAAGAATGTTTGAAAGAAGAGGTACATGTGCTTAAAGACACCAGCTAGGCATGTGAACTTGTGTTTTCCTCACAAGTTACAGCTGAGAGAGCGAAAGACGGAGAGAGTTCATTCGGGATGGGGTGGGACCAATACCTATGCAGCTATTAAAGTCCGAGACCACGAGTCTCTCTGAATTGAAGCAGTATAATAAAAACAAAAAATAAGGGTCACATGGAGCTGTGCGTCACTGTGCCGCCTTTGTGAGGATTTATTTATCTCTCTGTTTAAAAACAAAAAACAAAGGCCATCTTTAACGAAATAAGATTGTTACAACTAAAAGCACATAAACGAATAGGCCTTTTCTAGCTGGAGTTCTTTAACCTACATTGTTATAGTATACAATATATTTTTCTGTGGAGGCTTCTTACCTTGCTTGCTTGATTTCCTATGAAGAGAAATGTCTAGAAAAATGCTAACTTCTTAATTGGTCTGTGTTTAGCGCAAACAATTAAAAAGAACTCAATGAATGTACGTAGCGTTTGTTTATTTGTTACGCCACCCACTTTTGACCTAAACAATTAAAATGTGTGTGTTGTTTGTAGATACAGTTCTGTTTAAAAAATGGAATAACTGTAAGTCTGAAGCTCATCGTATTTAACGCAGCTCCGTCATATCTGTCCATCCCCGTTAGCACTTGGCCAAAATTCAGCTTCTTGTACGGCTTGCGCAATATAATCTCGATGGATGATGTCAACCAAATGCTTTTCCAGACCCAGGAATGTAACCGTTCGTTTTGATTGTTTCTTCACTGACTTTCTGTGATCCCTCAACAATCACGGAAGCCCCTAAAACGAATGTTCAGTATTGTCAGAAACTTACTTTGTAGTAATACAAACACACACAGTAAGTCAGCCTGTGATGAGACTGTTTAGTTTTACAAGGAGAAGAGTAAACGTATGTTGTCAGAATTTTTTTTCCGAGACAATCACTAACAGGAATCAGTTCAATAACTGCTTTACAAGTTGCTAAATTTATAAACCCCACTCGTGGAGTGAAAAAAAGTACTCTAGAGCAGTGTTTCTCAACCATGGTTCTGGAGAACCACCGGCACTGCACGTTTCCATGTCTCCTTAACCAAACACTCCTGATTTAGATCATCTGCTCATTAGCAGAGACTGACAGACAGGTGTGATAAAGGATACACCCAAAACATGCAGTGTTGTTTTTCCTCCAGGAATGTGGTAAAGAAAAACTGCCCTAGAGTACTTTAAGTCAGTGTTTCTCAACCACATTACTGGAGGACAACCAGCACTGCAAATGTTCTTGTATTTTTAACTAAACACACCTAAATCAGATCATCAGCTTATTAGCAGAGACTGGAAGACCTGTAACAGGTGTGACAGAGAAAGGAGACACCCAAAACATGCAGTGTTGGTGGTCCTCCAGGAACGTGGTTAAGAAAAACTGCCCTAGAGTACTTTAAGTCAGTATTTCTCAACCACATTCCTGGAGAACCACCGGCTCTGCACATTTTCCATGTCTCATTAACCAAACACACCTGACTCACTTCATCAGCTCCTTAGCGGATACTGAAAGACCTGTATTAGGTGTGACAGAGAAAGGAGACACCCAAAACATGCAGTGTCGGTGGTCCTAAAGGAACGCGGTTGAGAAAAACTGTCCTAAAGTACTTTAAATGAGCTATCAATAGGCAGGTTGTACAGTGTTTCTTTTTTAATTAGAAAGCGAAACATCAACAGACCAAATACATATCCTCATTTTAGTGCCTTAGTGCTCCACTTCCTTCAGGGCTAAGTAAAAATCCAAATCACTGACTTCTAAAACAACACATGCTAATAATGCAGGTTTGAGGGAATGATTGAACAAATCTTGCATAGGAAGTGAACAACACTGCATGTGCGGAGGGATTGTCGAAGCCTAGAAAAAGAGACGAGGGCGACCATTAATGTAGTGCATAGGTCTCAAATTCAATTCCTGGAGGGCTGCAGCTCTGCAGAGTTTAGCTCCAACTCTAATTGAACACAGCTGATGCAGCTAATCAAGGTGTTCAAGACTCTTTAGAACACCTGGATCAGCTGTGTTTGATTAGGGTTGGAGCAAAACTGTGCAGAGCTGCGGCCCTCCAGGAATCCAGTTTGATACCTATAGTGTAGTGACTGAAAGCAATATGATACAAGTAAACAGGAAGTGAAATTAATTCTTTTTCCGGATCATTGACTGCTTTTATTGATTCCGAACTTTTAGACTAAATCAAGAGGAATCTGTCTGAGAACTAAAAGAAGGAACATTTGGATTCAGACTATACAGATATTAATGCAAAACTATAGAGATTGAACATAATTATTCTGGTTAGACGTGGCTGTTTGTTTCAGGGCTTCAGAATGTGGGCTTTGATAGGCGAAATAACTGAAAGAACCACTGTCTTGTTTGGAGAATCTGAAACCAATTGTCCTGACAAATAAAAAGAAATGCATATATACATGATTTATTCTCTCTCTCTCTTTAGATCAATGGAATGATGAACACTTAACGTACAGAATTAGCTGTCACTGCCTAAATGTTTTTCATACATTTTTGTAACAATCTGCTAATGTCTGTGCGCACACACACATATATATATATATAACCATGGAGTATTTTTATCGCTCAGATTTTTTATTATTATTCTTTTTGTGCTCGTGTCTGTTGCATCTTAGCATATGCCGATGTTTATACACTAAACATTTCTAATTTAAACTGATGTGTGTTTCTTTCCTTCTTTTGAAACAACTCGAAAGATAAAATCTGTTTGCGTTGTACACAAAACAGCCCGAATCACCCTGCGTTCTCAGATCGCCTCATGCATCTGTGACTTTCCACAGGTTTGTATGTTTTTGTTGTGCGTCTATGTGTGTGTGGTCAAGTACACAAAATGTATGAGGGCTTTTCTTCTGTCCATGCAGTTTATGTTATTGTATATCTGGAATGAATAAAAATACTTCACTGGCTAATCTTTTAAATGAATCTGTGATGATGGCATCTTCTGTCTTGGTCCTGCAGTGTTTGTTGGATTTTATTTACTTTATAATTCATGTCATTTATTTCCAAAAAGGGTCAATCTTGCTATTTTTGTTGCATGTTGGCTACTTCTCTTGAAGTTTCCAGTTGATAACAGATTACTTTGTAGTTTTTAACTACAAAGTTCTTTGTACTTTGTAATTACTTTGTAGAGTGCATTAATACCCTATATAACCCCAAACTGGTCAACTCTATTGTCTTTGAGCAGAGCTTTTAAATATTCTGGAATGTTAACTGCAAACTATTAAAAAGGTTTTTAATGTAGCCTGTTAATTATGAAGTCCATTATCAATTTATTTTTATTTCTATAGCGCTTTTACAATGTAGATTGTGTGAAAGCAGCTTAACATGGAAGTTCTAGAAGATTGAAACTGTGTCAGTCCAGTTTGAAGTTCAGTTCAGTTCAGTGTGGTTTAATTTTCACTGCCGAAAGTCCAAACACTGGAGAGCAAATCCATCCATGGACATAAGCTGCATTGGATTTTGAGTGAATTTGTTGATTTTAGGATTAATTAAATTTATAGATATTAATCTAATAGCAGATGGTGTAAATGTCAGATATGTGCAATTAATTTACAAGATTTTATAAATTATTTATTTTGACATAACTCATCACTGGAGGCTGGTTTTAATTCCCCCCCCACCCCCTTCGTTGAGGATTGTGTTGAGGATTTCAACCTAGTGTATTTCCATGTTTTGTTGCAGGGACAGTAGAATGTTAATATTAAAATGTTCTCTTTTCGTTTTTTTTTTTTTTTTTTTTTACATTGTTGTGAAAATATTAATAGAGTATAATGTACAACAATTTTTGGAATTAGTGTATAATTACAATAATTCTATTAAAAATAATTTCAAAAACATTTTTGCCTCCAAGTTGGTTAGTTTTTGTTTCATATAAAGCATAATATAGTGTGAGGTCACTGCTCAGTCATGCTTTAAGTCAGAGATGTCCAAAGTAAGGCCTGCGGGCCAAAGCTGGCCCATGCCCCAACCTTTGATTTTGGCCTATCTGAGAAGAGAAGGAGAATGATACGGGTGGTTTAGAGATTGCCATTTCAAATATAACGTAACCTTTCATTTCTTTTTTTGTTAAGCTACGAAAACGCTAACTGAAATGAAATGTTTCAATTTAAATGCGTTCTGAATGTAATTGAGTTATACTGTCACCCGATGCAGAGACTTTGGTGAATGAATCAAAGCAAAGCCAGATTCTGCGTGACTACTGTATTTAGCATCGAACTTATACATTTGTCTTATAAATGTGATTATGTTCCTATTGCAACAATATTCAAAGTGATGTTTTCTATGAATTTTTAACTATTATTAAATAAATTAGGAAATAACCCAATGGCAACTTTAATGTAATATAGTTTGGTATGGTTATCTTCGCCGACGCGGTGGCGTAGTGGGTAGTGCTGTCGCCTCACAGCAAGAAGGTCGCTGGTTCGAGCCTCAGCTGGGTCAGTTGGCGTTTCTGTGTGGAGTTTGCATGTTCTCCCTGTGTTCGCATGGGTTTCCTCCAGGTGCTTCAGTTTCCCACACACTCCAAAGACATGCGGTCGGGGTAAATAGGTTAGGCTAAATTGTCCGTAGTGAATGAGTGTGTATGGATGTTTCCCAGAGACGGGTTGCAGCTGGAAGGGCATCTGCTGCATAAAACGTGCTGGATAAGTTGCCGGTTCATTCCGCTGTGGCGATCCCAGATTGATATAGGGACTAAGCCGAAAAGAAAATGAATAGTTATCTTCGGCCCACGGTTATCAATATTTGTTTTTTGGCCCTTTATACGAAAAGGTTTGGGCACCCCTGGTTTAAGTCATCCTTACAAAATGTCTAAACACTATATTTGGATACTTCCCAAGTCTGAAAACATGGCATATTTTCTGTTATTTGACCATTTGTCGTTTTCTTTACATACATGTTTTCAATAAAATCTTATTTAAAAGTTAGGGTAAAATATATATCAGCATAATTTGCTAAATAAAATATTATGTAATAATAATACATTTTCATGAAGCGGGTGGTTAAAATCTAGACAAAACAAATCCGCAAAAAGGGAAACGGTACATACATCATACATTTACCAACAAATAACTCACAGAAAGTGGTAAAGCAGCCTCCCGTATGTTACACTAT